TGACAAGCACAACAAAAACCAGGATTTTCAATGTTAAAGAGAGAAAGAAGTGTTTTTACATCATTATAACTGCATTGAACACACAATTGGAAACCCTAACTAGGTCAAAACTGATTCAAGAAACTGCTTGATTTAGCAAAGCTACCATCTTGAACCCCAGCTGATCATTTAATAAAACCCTAAAAGAAGAAGAAAATAATTAAAACATCACGAAAGAATCATCAAACCCCAGCAAAACCCATATAGAAGTAGAAGATAAAAATTAAGGGTTTTTATCCAATTCGATACGCAGAAAAAAAAAGGAAACGAGAAACTCAAGAAGACAAGATAAAAAGTGTTTAAAAAAATAGAGATTTTGATACTCACATTCAAGAAAACAAAAACCCACTAGAGCAAAAGACTTTTAATAAGGAATGGCGTCTGACAAGAAGAGAGATAGGTGTAGGCTAAGGTTGGCCGGAGTAAGTGAGTGTCCAAAGACAGAATTTTCAGAGAGAGTTATACTAATTTTAAGAGGTTATTATTCGAAAGTTGAAACGGAGACACGGCACTCTCTCTTTAAATTCCGGTCTCCGACAGCGAGAAAGCGATAGAAGCGTCCCACAACCAGAGAGAAAACGGTCGAGCCACCTGCTTGGTGTTGGTGTGTTCGTTAAATTACAAACAGGAGAGGACTCTGTTGCCTTTTGTTTGGTTTTGTGTTGCTTTTGCCCTCTTATCTCCACAATAATTTCATTTTTGTACCATCACTCTTTGATATGGCAGCTACCGGTGGAGCAATGGAAGTGTGCACTCTCTTTTTTATACTTTTTAAAGCTGTTTTCAGACAATTTACATATTAATTAAAAAAGAAAATATAATATTAACCTAAATTTTTTTAATATTAATTTTTCTGCAAATATCGAAGTATTTACTATTAAGCTGAGCCTCTTGCAAAAGCCTTGTTTTGAAAGAGTCTCGACTGAATTAAGGTCAGCTTCCCATAAACCCTCCTGTTCCTTTCATGAGCGCCAAGCCTGCCTCAGCAAGACTGAGAGAAAGCTCCCTTTCTATACGAAAACAAAAAACAGAGAGAGCCCAAGCAAGCTCTGTTTGCCAGTCCCTTAATTGCATTTGGACCCCACTCCTCTGTATAATGCACTGCCATATTATCTGATCTTCTGCGACCCGATTACATGAAGAACAAGCAGCCTGCATGTCTCTTCCCCGTTGCACTTGTCAGACTTTTGCTGACAACCTGTGAAGATCGCAAAGCCAGGCAATAAAGCTATACCAGTAAAGAGAAATTGCCACTACAGATCCTTTCCGAAGAAATACAATCCTGGGAGCAATTATTTCCAAAGAAATACAAGCTCTTTAACATCTCCAAGAGCAGTCATTATGTGCATTTAGACTCCATGCACTTCTATTTTTAATCAGATGACTCGAACCCAAATTCAGCCAAAAAGAAAAACCTTGTGTAGTGCATTTGGAAAAATAAATATTTTTTTTAGTTAATTTTATTTTTTTACTTGAAAAGAACACTCTTTTATTTTTTATATTCAATATTAGTATAATTAATCAGTGTTTTCTAGCTTTTTTATATAAAGATTTGTCATAATTTTTTTAGCAATGAGGGTGAATAAATAAAATTAAATATTTTAAGAGTTTCCTCAAGTTATGGTGTTGTTGATCTTTATGGGACTTGACTTGTAATAAACATTGTTATTTTTCACTTATATTTGGGTGAGTTGATACCAAGTGATTCCTAATAATTTTTGTTATGTTATCAAATCACCATACCAATGGATAATTATCATGGTTCAACAATTCTACATGATTAGTTATTGTGCATTGTAAAATAATCATGATCGGAAAAAATTGTGAAATAGGACATGTTTTTGCAGAAGATGATAAAGTGACTTCTTTTAAGGAAAAAAATATTATTTTTGTTTCTGTTAATAATTGTTATTGAATATTATAATGATAAAACTGATGATGAGATGCTTATTATAAAAGTATTGTATTATGAATTTGTGATTGTTGTTAATAGGTGAATAACAATAATTAAAAAAAAATATAGGATAGGATATGCTCGTTCATGAAAGGATGAGAAAGTTTTTTCTTAGAAAAAAGACGTTGAGGAACTAATATGTTATTTTGTTCTTGTCAATTGCTATAAAAAATCTTAGTGGTAGGACCTATAATGAAATGATGTATAAAAATGTTGTAGTAAGAGTTATTGTATCAGATATTTATGATGAGACAATTTATATAAAAATATTGTATTAGAAATTATAACAAGAAAACATGTATAAAAGTGTTAAAAATTTATGAAGCGGTCCACACACAAAAATATTTGTGCTGGAGGATAATAGTTTGAACTCGTATTTTATGGTGAGTTTCTTTCATTATAGTAAACTGATGCATTAACTTTTAAAAACAATAAATAATTTTCTTGATTAATTTTTTTTTTTTTTTACCATGCATTGTTATGCTTTTCTATATATATATAATGTTGTGTTGGGTTTTTAACGAGTAAGATGTAGATAAATAAAATTAAGTATTTTAAAAATAATATATTATACTATAGATTTTTCATTATAGAAGCCCGATTTTATTTTTTTTAATTAATGTTTATTTTAAAATATGATAGAGGTTGTATTTTAAAGTATTTTTCATTTGAAAATACATTAAATTATTTTTTTATTTTTTAAAAAATTATTTTTAACACCATATTAAAATAATTCAAACATAAAAAAATTCAAATTTAAAAAAAAAAAAAACACTGTACCACAATGCTAAACACCGTTTCCTGTGATACTTTACAGGCAATCTCCTCATTTTAAATCCTGCAACATTGTCTATTTGTGCAACAGTTTCAGCACCTAAAAAAACCTCACAATTTGAAGGTTTGAATATCAGACCATATAATGAGCAGAACTGATAAAAAATAGTAACCACAGAGTTAATAGCATTCACGTTTCCAGCAGCCAAAAACACGAGGTCACTAGCAAAACAAAGGTGAGTTGAAAAAGACTTTCTTACACCTTGGATGGTAAGGGAGACTTCCATTAGCAGCAGCAACATTCAACGAACATGATAGGACTTCCATCACGACCACAAATAAATAAGATTTCAACGGGTCACCTTTTCACAAACCCTTCTCGCCATTAAAATGACCTCGAAGACTGCCATTAACAATCACTGAAAAGCTGGTGGTGGAGATACAAGCATGTAGCCAATTTACAGATTAAATATCGAGCTCTAAAAACATTCTCTCCGGTTCTCGTCGTATCTTGTACAAAAGTTGGTTGATTTTGTCTAATAATGAAATAAAGACAAATTTTCATCTGCAAGATTTTGGATATGCATTTATAGAGAGTTGTGCAGCAGTAGATAGGTCTAAAACCCACTACTTTACTCGCATTTGCAACCTTAGGAACAAGAGTGATAGTAGTGGAATTGATGGCTTTCAACATTTTACCAGCTCGGAAGGAATCCAATAGAGCATCGGTCACCTCATCGCTAACAAAGTCGCAGGCAGACTTGAAAGAACAGGTGCCTTACTACTATTCAAAGAGAGCGTGACCCTTTTAAGTTTAACCTCTTGAGCAGACTACAAGAGCAGCAAGGAAAGATCGTTGTTTTGTAGAGAACCTTTTAGGGAGGATTCTTAGAGCATGCTCCACATTGCTATCTTCGTCACCAAGCAAATTATGATAGGATTGAATGATTCTAAATTTCAGCTTGGGAATTCAGAATGCTACCACCTGCATGCAGAAAGAAGAACGGAGATTGTATTTTAAATTCTCCATGCCTTGGTTATTTGAACAATCAGTGCCAGAAGTAGAGAACTTCTCATCTACAATGATCACTTTAACAGTGTTTCTCCGCAGTATCCATCTAAAGATCTTCTCATCTACAATATTCTGAAAATTCTGTTCTCATATGTTGTCTCCACCAAGTAATCTACAGACTTCTTGTTGTTTAAGAGGGTGATTAAACCCTCTATTATTAAATATCTTTGCGATCGAATTTTATGCCAATATTAATCTACATCTACATTTAAACCAAGTGTATTTGTTTATGAACTTTTTTTACGCAACGCCCTCTTGCATTACCTTGTGTGTTTGGAATTATGAGGCGTTAATTAAAAACACCAAAAGGAAAAAAAAATTAAATCAATAAAGACATCGCTTTTAATTTGATTAAATACTAAGATTTGTGGGCTCGCACTAAGACACATGTTAGAATTTTTTTTTTCTTATCAATTAAAAAAAAAACATTAGTGTAATGCAAGCGTGTATAAAAAAATAACCATAGCTTGGGACATATACCCGATTGATCAACAAATGCTTGTATAGTTAATTAGATGATAAAAATATAGATAACGAAAATAAATAGCCCAACTCAAACAAAAAATAGTTATGGTAACCTGCAAAAGAAATTATTAAAAAATCAAAAAAAGATCATCACCTGTCTACTTGCTTTCTTATAGAACCTGATCTGCTAGCAAAATATATATATGTTGTATTATATTATATTACTTTTTAAAACAGAATTATTTCACTAATATTTTTTTTGAAAACATGCTAGCAAGAAAAAATAGAAAGAAAAAAAACTGGGTATAGATCTGGAGTGAGCGGCAAAGAGCTGTACTTGTTAGTAATGGAAAATTAAGTGATTAATTAAAATTTACGCCAGGCTCTTTTACAGATCCCCTCTTCTCATCTTTCAATCTAAATAAGCCAAGGTATAATACATGGTATATCACAATAAAATCATCTCCATGCACAATGGCGACGCTGATTATCAAGAATTTGACAAGCACAAATGATTTAATGGAGTTGTTAGGCTTTCATTTTTTGAAGCAGGGCTAACTAATCTTGATGGCCATCACCTTTCTACTTGCTTTCTTATAGAACCTGATCAGATGGAATTGAAAATATTTAGCAACAACTCCTCTTAGCCTGGGGTATAGACCAACTCTTGCTGGTTTCCTTATATAAGGTTCATCCATCCACCCAATCACTTCACAGCAACTCCTGATTCTTTGCTCGCTAACCCTCATAGAACAACCGTCCTCAGGTCTCCACTCTCTAAAGAGCGAAAATGAAGAGTGAATCAGCAGCGATTGATATCCCAGAGTCTAGCTCTGTTGCTAAAGGAAAAGCACCTCTCATAGCTGTTTCCAGGGATGAAAAGGGAGGATACGGGAAGGGGATTGCCATATTTGACTTCATTCTAAGGCTAGCTGCTATTGCGACTGCTCTAGCTGCTGCTGCTGCCATGGGAACTAGTGAAGAAACCCTCCCATTCTTCACTCAATTCTTCCAGTTCCAAGCTAGCTATGATGATCTTCCCACTTTCCAGTATGTGATTTTAACCTGTTGCTAGGGATAGTATAATATGCACTGAATTCTTACACACAATAACACGCCTTTTGGGATAATACTTGTTACAATGTCTTGGGCCGGTGGCGTGAAATCAACATAGTAGCCTATTTAGAAGGTATGGAGATTTCTACAGAAATTTTAAGGCATCTCTTTTTTCAGGTTTTTCGTCATTGCAACCGCATTTGTTGGTGGCTACCTGGTCCTTTCCCTTCCACTCTCCATAGTAGGTATTGTCCGCCCACATGCAGTTGGACCAAGGCTCCTGCTGATTATTTTGGACACTGTAAGCTCTCTAAATGTTGTGTAATTAACATCTCGCTGTGAAACCCAAATTCTCAACTCATTTTAACAAGAAAATCTCAACCCCCCCCCCCCCCCCCCTTTTCTTTTCTTTTTTCAGGTTGCACTTCCCCAAAACCCCGCTGCTGGGGCTGCAGCTGCTGCCATAGTCTACTTGGCCCACAATGGCAACCCAAACACAAACTGGCTTGCTATCTGTCAACAGTATGGTGATTTCTGCCAGAAAGTCAGTGGAGCTGTGGTGGCATCACTCATCACTGCTGTCATCTTCGTGTTTTTGATTGTGCTTTCAGCTTTCGCTCTGCGAAGGCATTAAGAGAAAAAAAGAGTGAAACTTGTTCTGTTTTATCTCTGGACTTGTTTGGTGTTTATGTTGTTGTTATCATTGTTATTTTCAGTGTTCTTATTGTATAATGGTGAGAGTAATGGTGTGATTTACAGTAATGTAAGAGATGATTACAATGAAAATTGAAGTGTTTTATATATATATATATAGCTGTGTCACTTGTGAATATGCTTGGATTTACGGTTTAAACATTATTGCTTATTATAAAATTATAACTTCACAAATTACTTAAAAAGCTCTTGAAGCCATGAGATCAAATATATACAAGTTTATTTATTTTTATATTTTAAAAGTATTTTTAAAATAATTAATTTTTTAATTTTATTTTATTTTAAATTATTTTATTGATAATCCCATATCATTTTAATATACTAATATCAAGAATAAACTTTTTAAAAAATAAATATTATTTTAACATATTTTAAAATAAAAAATATTTTAAAAACCACTTCTATCAAATAAACTCAAAATCTAATATAGCTCACCTCCATTTCCTCAGCAACAACAACTAACATGTTTGTTTCTACGTTTTAAAAGTATTTTTAAAAAAATTTGAAATTTTTTTATTTTTTTATTAACTTTAAATTAATATGTTTTTAGTGTTTTCAAATCATTTTGATATGCTAATGTCAAAAATGATTTTTAAAAAATAAAAAAACATCTTTGACATGCATTTTGGCACGAAAAGCTATTTGAAAAGCAATAGCAACCACACTTTCAAGCAGGCTTAAGTCTTCAATAAAAACTTCTAATCAAAATATAATTGCCTTGCTTAAGCCAGAGGAGGGGTTGTTGAACATTAGTTACAAAAGGTGAGATAATCATAATCCCAGTAAATATTCCTCCCTCGGAATTAAAATGGTAACCTGCTTTCAAATTCTTGTCAAGTATCTTCAAATTGAGAATTAGTCATACATCAAAGGGAATTCTAGAGCCATTGTATCAGGCACATAGGGCTCATCTATATATGATATAGTCGCAAGGTACAGAGCACAACTCAAAAGGTTACTAAGAAAATTATTTTCAAGAAAGTCCTTTCTAAGTGCTAATTGAATAGTTGATGTTTTCTAATCAACTTGTTATTGCCTTCAGCTGGGGACCAGCTAATTTATGCTCCCCTGCTTCTCACAACTTTCTTCTCGGCTTTTAATCAAAAATGAAAAAAAAAAAAAGCAAGCTTTAAATAGATTGGAAATGGTGAGCACCCACACCCTTATTCCTATAAATAAAAAAACTATTTAAGATTGCAATCCTCACTACAAACTCGATTTAACCAGCTCCTCTAGTTTCAACAACCTTTTCTTTTAGGCATACACTTCAATATATTTTTTAATTTCAAGATGCCATTGTCGTGCATTACCCAACTAGACACACATCAAATTTTCCATGCAAGACAAGGACTTTTTTTCTTGCCAATATTAATATTTATTTTCTCCGTATATTGTATCATTAGTTGTGACTAACTTATACATCAATAGGCATCACAACCAATAATGAATAACCTAACCTTCAATAATGCAGCTCTTCATCTCTACAAAGTACCTACAACTCTACACATAGAGGGACTTGCAACACACTTACTCCACGAGGTAAGCTAGGTTAATCAAAGTCTATAAATATCTTAATTATTATATAAATATTCAAGTAGGAGAGGCAATTTAATTTCATATAAGAAAACTAACATATACATTTTCTCTCATTTTCTTTACTCTTTTGCACATTTTTCTTTTTAAAATCTTACTAACCTAAATATCAAATGATTCATTCTTTTGTCAAAAAACTTATTTTTCAAGAACAATAAAAAATAAAGACAAAAGCATAAATTCAAGCCCATCATATTCTAACATAAAAAACAATCATGAAAAACCCAATACATTCTAAATCTTTCACAACTTTATCAATGGTGTCGTTTCTAGAAACTTGAATAAAAGTTGGTTCATTTCTTTTTCACACCCCTCACTAAAAAATTCTTTTCATAATCAATTACTTGGAAACTTTAGGACATGAAAGAATTATTAACCTCCCCATAACAAATACTTCAACTCGTTCAGATCCCCCAACAACTCTCCTATCAAAGTGAGAATGTTTAACAATGTTGTTCTAGTCATACAACAATAATTTCACACTCTTGCACTCTTTCAATGAGAAATAAAACATGTAGCTTCATTGCATACACTATTGAATTTAAAAAGATAATTCATGTTTCCAAAAGAAATAAGGTAAAATGACATGAAAGTTAGTAGACATGAGAACATTCGTACTCTAATTGTCCAAATAAGTTGCTCCTACTATAAAGAGCACTCCTTAACAAATCCTAGTCATAACAATGACTTCAACCATCAATCCTTTTTTTAAGTATCGTTTATAAGCTCCCCATTGAAAAAGGCAAAAACATAAGATAAAAAAGTAATTACATCATCCTTTAAGAATGAACATCGCCTTCATCAAATAAAAGGTTCTTCACTTTGTCATCAAGTGTTATATACTCATCCCTCTAAATATTGCATCTCTATAAAGGCCAAGTTAGACAACTATGATGACTTTACAGACTTAAGAAAGCACATACGAAACATGAGAAATATTCTAGACCTGGTTATAAATAAGGCTGATGCTATATACAAAATCCTCATAATAACATTTTATAGATATACTCAGATATGGCATTAAAGCCTTAAGCTTAGCTCCATCCTTGACCTTCATGACCTTTGCATTGAACTTATCTTCCATTTCAGCATTAACATATCAACCAAAAAAAGTGATGTTAAGCTTTTTTTTCATTGCTCAAGGATAAGATAAGAGTATCAAAGCATACCTTTAAAGATTTAACAAAAAAATGGTAAGTGTGGAGAATTTAATCAAACTTATTGCCAATGAAGCTTTAATTAAAAGTGTTTATAACTACTTTTTATATGAAAGACTATATACTCACCCTAACTGAACTCTTCTTAATGTGAAAAAGGTAATAGAAAACCACTTTCAAGTAGATAAGATAAGCATGAACAAACAATAACATCTTTATTTTCATCCATAAAGAGTAGAATTTCTTTAACACCATCAATCTTTTACAGGCATCTAAAAAGCATTAAAGGATCCATTCATAACTGTCTAGTATTCCATGAGCTTATGACTACTACTCTAGCTGTTATACGAGATAAGGTAATGAATGTCATTAAAAAAATGGAATTTATGCAACACTTTTCATCTATAAAGAGTGGCATGAATATAAGATACCACAATTTTTTTTTTATCATTTTTACCATGACTATATTCATGATATTAAGGAATGTTATACTGTAAAATATAAGATAGAAAAATTAATCATCAAGAGTTATATCCAACAGTGTATAAAAAAGGAAGTGCAACTCGAACAAATAAGGAAAGATTTCTAAGATGCATTACTTGGGATAAGATAATTTCTAAAAAATATATCTCCACTTGCATGAGAAAATCTTCTGAACTTTTCAATAAAAATAGTAGTGTTCACAATGTCTATTGAATTCTATGTGTCTCCAAACAATTTCTCTATGTCTTTCTTGGAAAATTTGGGTTGAAAATACTTTCTGAAAATTATGAAAAATTTTAAAAATATCATATTATTTGTTGATTATATCAAATTTAATCCTTAATTTTTTTTTATTACTATATATTTTTTATTTTAAATATTTAATTTTTAATTTTATCTTTTATAATTGTTACGTGATTTTTTCTTATTATTTTTTTATTGAAATTTTTTATCTATTAAATTTGGTCCTCATTCTTTTGATTGTTACTTATTTTATTTGAAATAATTGATAAAATGTTAATTATTATTATTATTATTTTAATTTCTTCATATTTCATTTTTTTAGATTTAATCTCTATTATTTTGATCATTATTTATTTCATTTGAGATAATTTATATAATTATATTTTTTTTTCAATTTTATTTTCATTCAACTTTTTAATTTGTAAAATTTGTTCCTTATTATGTTAATACACTTGAAAAAAATAAAACATTAATAAATTATTTTCTAACTCATTTTCCATGACATAATCAAATATTAGAAAGTGTTTTCCAACTTATTTTTCATTACACTACCAAACATCAAAAAATAATTTATTTTTTTAGAATTTACTTTCAAAAAAAATTATTTTCCAGCAAATAAACAGAGTCTTAACACTACTCTTACATAAAATATTTTTCATTTTCTAAATAACTAAGTTCTACTTTAAGAGAAATAAATAAATTTATTAAACACTCATCTCTTTTGTATGCATGATAACAAAAGTCATAAAAAGGTAACATCAACTATATAAAATATTAAGTATTTTTTTCTATTTCATTAGTCAAATCTTTCAAACGTGATTTTTAAAAAGACTTGTGGAGGGGATGAAGGAGCATAAAAAATAAATTTCTAAAATTAGAAAAAAAAAATATTACATCCTAATTGCTCAAGCTAGACCCAAAAAACTATAATTCATAGTCGTTCAAACCATCTTGAATGGCTCTCTCTCACACATTTTATCTCTACCCACTCATCTTTCTCTTTCTCACCCTTACCAGCTATAAGGGCTTTCCTATCAAGCACACACCTCAATATATTATAATTTTGAGATGTTGGTGTCGCACACCACCCAACTAAGTATTCATTAAATTTTTTATATAAAGCAAACATTTTTGTTCTTGCTAATGATTATTTTTTGCACACATATGACATTATTAATAACCAACTTCTTCATCAATAACACAAGCACCGCAACCACTGATGAGCATCAACCAATCCATCAATGATACATCTCTTTAAAATTCATAAAGTATCCACAACTCCACATACTGAGGTACCTATAATGCCACTCTTCATGACTCTATAAGGTGAGATAGTGTGACCAATTTCTATAAATACCTTGGTCACTAGGTAAACATTCAGGTAAGGAATGTCAGTTTAAGTTCATATAAAAACACTTATAAATACTTGCTCTCATTTTCTTTACTCTTTTATAGATTTTTTCTCTTACATTTTACTAACTTAAGTATCGATGTGCCCTTTGTTTTAATAAGAGACTTGTTTGTCAAGAACAACTAATCTTATATTCCAACCTATCACATTCTAACCTGGTATCCAGTAGTGGAAAGCCTAATCTC